AATTAATTGGCTCTGCCAAGCTTGCAGATTTAGGGTTCATTAGAATTTGTTTCCTGTTTTCCCAGGGAGGCAGAGATTAAGAGCTTTAGAATTCACTGTGAGTACTTTTTATTTTTTATAATATATTTTATTGATTTTTTTACAGAGAGGAAGAGAGAGAGAAACATAAATCAGCTGCCTTCTGTACACTCCCTACTGGGGATATTCCCACAATCAAGGTACATGTCCTAGATCAGAATCAAACCTGGAACCCTTGACTCCGCAGGCAGATGCTACATCCACTGAGTCAAACGGGTTAGAGCTGTGAATACTTTTTAAAAGATCTTTTACTAGTAGACTCCCACTAAATATGTATTTTCAATATTAGATATATAATGAGTTTTCTATATTCACCCAAAGTACTATATAAATACCACCATGTTTTATAATTTCTTGAAAGTTAATTTTATTTTATAATTTTTATTTCATTTATTTCAAACTATACTTCATTTTCATTTTTCCAATTTGTTCAACAATTGAAGATTTCACATAAAATACAAAGTTATAGCAATGCAGCAACATTTTATAGCAAACAGATTGAAGGGGGGGGTGCTCATATTCAGCTCGGAAGGAGTCTTTTTCCCTAACTCTGACCAGCCATAAAAATCTAGGGTTATTGTACAAACACAATATTGACTGGTCACTATATCTCACATTGCTCTTCCATAATCACCATGTGAGCCATTAGGATGCATTTGGGAATTCCACTTTGCACCACTTCATTATAGCAATATAAATGAGGTATGATATGTGGCTTTTGCAGTTGTGTTCCCCACTACCTATTGGTATGTTCCCACCAACCCTGCATCTGTGACTGTTATCATGTCTATGGATATTCCATGGACGTGTCCATCATGGAGATGTCCACGGAGATCCCACCCAGACATGAAGCATTGTGTTGTTTGTGGCCATCTTCCTCTATTAGATATAAACTCCCTGGAGCTGCCAAAACCGGTTTGGCTCAGTGGTTAGAGTGTCGGTCTGCGGATTGAAAGGTCCCAGGTTCGATTCCGGTCAAGGGCATGTACCTTGGTTGCGGGCACATCCCCAGTGGGGGGAGGGGAAGGTGTGCAGGAGGCAGTGGATCGGTGTTTCTCTCTCATCGTTGTTTCTAACTTTCTAATACTCTCCCTTCCTCTCTGTGAAAAATCAATAAAATATTTAAAAATAAATAAATAAATAAATAAACAAACAAACTCCCTGGAGCAGAGATGCTGTTTTATGCACCACGCCTAGAATAGTGCCAGCACATAGTAGGTACTCTAAAAAAATCACATGGTCAATGGAAGAATGACAAAAATAAAAACAGGTATTTATTAGAACAGAATGCTAATGTCAAAATAATCCATCAGAAAGAGGACACGCGGCTTTGAGTTTTGAGAGTCTTAGAGGATAAGGTGATTTTTAAAAAAATATATTCCTCCAATAAAACAAAGAATTTCCTGGGTTATTTCTAAATTTGACTTAAGGCACATTCCATATAAGACCAGAATCTTCTAAGCAACTATTTCTGGAGAAGATTAATGGAAGTGAGAGAGATACAATTAAAGTCTTAACTCAGAATTTGAAAATCACCTTTAAGTATTTAAAGAGACATTAATCATGACTATTAATCAATAGAAAGGAATGTTCACAGAATGCTTAGAATAAATGTTTGCTGAAGCAAAAAGTCAGAGGGAAAAAGGAAGGGATGCATGCCTAGGGCTAAAGACAGATTTTTTTTTTCTTTTGGGTTTAACAAATTAAAGCTGTTGGAAAGGAACAGTTCATCAGAGGGAAACGTTACTGTACAGCCTATGAAATACCATCGTGGTCAGCAGAACCTCAACAGTTTGTGTACCCCCCACTCCCACCAACCACCACCACCCCTCCCCCGACTGCTCCATGCCAGTCATTGTTGAGAAACGTTTCTTGCAAGTCTGACTTAGATATTATGCCGAGAAGTTACTCAATGCCAAGAATTAGGAAAGTCCTTTTATTTCCTTTACTGCTTGCTGACAAGAATAAGTTCCAAACATTTTTGGTAATTCTCTGCTTTTAAAAATTTTTTGAGGCTGTCCAATGTCATTGCTCTTTAATTCATTCACTCATGCTGGAACCTCAGGTTTTCCCTGTGGTTTGTACTTCTGAGAATTATTTCCAAGCAACTATACCTCAAAGATTTCTAAAGCCATTAAAAAAAAAAAAAGCTACGAGATGCTGTTTTCATATACAGTGACTTAGCTGTGCAGAAAAAATAGCTGAGTTTTAAAGTCTCTCTTTGAGTATCTTCAGACATTTATGTAAAACTTATATGTAAGAGTTTTTGTTTTGTTTAATTTTTATTGTTGAAAGTATTATATAGGTTCCCCTTTTTCCCATTAAACTCTTCCAGCCTTTTCCTGTCCTTCCAGCCCCAACTCCACCCCAGACCCTTACCATCCCCTTCAGTGTCTAGAGATTATGTATATATGCATACAAGTTCATTGGTTGAACTTCCCAACAGCCTCTGAATGTGTAAGTTTTAGCTAAATGTAGAATGAACTAAATAGGTTTAGGGGAACCCAAGTTTGAGTTGGTCCTAAGCTACCCCACACTCCCTTTACATCTTCCACACCCTGAGGGGGATTATGTTGTGTTGTCCTATGTTACTGAGATGCTGCAACTCTAAGCAAGGTCATTTTTTTTTTTGTTTTGCTTCCCTTCCCCTAATGGATGCAATAGCTGGGTCCTGGGTCATCTGTTCCATTGACCTCTGGGAACAAGAAGAGCTGCAGGGTGGGCAGCTGAGTTAGGCACTTAGGCTAGGGTCTCTGAGGGCAGGGATACAGACTAGCCTCCTCTCAGAAGTAAATCTATGACCAGGAGACTGCAGGACTGCATCATTACAGCTGTTCAAGGAATTCCCACCTTTTTCTACAAGTTAACTCCAGGTGGTATCATGGCCCTTTAAGTCTAAGATCCAATCACTTAGCCTAATTATGCCCCATTTTCTTTCTTGTGATTTGAAATCATCATGAAAACTCTTTATAGATGCAGATTTATCTTTCCCCAAGAAACTGCTACTACCGCCCAGAATGAAAGCATTCCAAAGCCTACTAGGTTTGGAAACATGAGCCAGATTCTGTAATCATCTCTGTCAAAATTACAACAGCTAAATCAGGAAGTAGACAATAAAAGGCAGATCACATTTAGACAAAGACATGGTTACTTTTTTATTTGAAGGGGGGAAAAAATATGTTTTAATAAATACTGCAGAAACATTGACCAAACAAACATACAAATTGACTTCAACATTTTAAAAAATGCAACGAAAGTTCTGCTTTTTAACAGTTATAACTTATTTTCTTTTTACAATATTTAAATACAGAAAGCACTTGCCAGCTATTTTGTAATACTGCCCAAAGCATAATGCTGCCTCAGTCAAAGCATATTATGTTGGTAGAAACGTCTATATCTTGTGGGAAATGACTGGAAGAGTATTTCCTTGCAGAGACAAAACAAAGTGCTTGTAAAACATTGAACTAAGTTTGTAATCACCTTAATCTCCTCTCCTGCCACAGTTTAATGGGAGCGACAGCTTCAACACTTCAAAAATGAAGCTTTATCATTGGAAAGAAAGCTCGTTTTCAACAAGCGCCAACAGGTCAGATCGGGTTTATACTCTGAAAGAAGCTCTAAAAGAAACGGATCAAAAGTATCTGTAAACTATTGTAACTGCTGATTATTTTAGCTAACAACAGCGATCAAGTACTGAACAGGGGCCTTGGCAGAATCTGGCTAAGTGAGGTTTAGCAATCACTCTAGAAATGGCTAGCATAGTGTCAGGACGGACCGTACATAATTTTCCACTAAGGCTACTCTAAAGCTTGACAAGAGGGCCCTTCTCTGATCGTGTTCATTTAAAGAAAGCGAGCTAAACCAACCAATCATCAGATGCTGCCAGCTTCAGAGCTTCATCCCCCAAATAAGAGGCCTCTTTTGCTTTGTACTTTTGGTAACAATTCCAGACAGCTTTACTCACAAACTGTGCTTTCTGCTACTATTCCTTCATTATTTCTTCAGGTGAAAATAGTACCTACATTTCCCCCCCTCTTAGATCATTCATCCTATGATGTCAAACCAAAACACCTTTTATTTGACTGCTTTTTCATTAACCATGGCAAAAAAATATCAAAAATTAAAAAAAAAGTCACACACCCTCTCTTCTAAACAGCGCACAAAAATATTACCTTGAGCAATTTACCACTTTTAAATGACAATCACAATGATGAACAGAACCATCAGACTGAATAAAAATCGACACTTATTTCTACTTGGATCATCTGCATATCTTGCAAGACTGCAAAAGCCCTTCTTTAGAGCCCTTTCGCTCAACTACTGTTAGGAAGGCAAGATTTCAAAGCTTCGCCAACTTTTCCTCTGGATGTCCCAAGGGTCCTGATACAATTTCCATTTTAATGATGAGCTAGAAGGAAATTAGATCTCATCCTCTAGAAAACTAAACGCTAAGGTCACAGTGCCAGTTCCCCAATGAGGACGGTATATTAATATATACTTTTTTTGTAAGGAGATTAAAACATTGAAACATTTAAATCAAAGTAGAGATCTATGACTAGATTATAACAAAGAAAACAATAATGCAAGCACCATTCCGAGTGGGATTTTTCTTCCTGGAGGTACTTGCACTCCTCCTCATCTAACCTCTAGCCCATCTGAATCTCTCTCTCTTTTTGGCATATTTCTCAAGTCACACTTCAGAACTCTCCAATGTATTCACTTCTCACCACTTGTTCTACATGCCGAACCTAAGGACAGGATTCCAAAAAGATGAGCATCCTCTCAAATGCCTCCTAAGCCTCCGGAATATGTGACTTTCGGCTGTGCACTTCATTCAGACTTCACCTTTTTGTTTTGTTGTTAGTGTGGCTTTTTTTTTTTTACACCAAAGTTCCTTGTCCTCATCAAAGGTAATGGGGAATTCACATCACAGTGCAACTCTTCGCTTTGTCCTTTCGTAAGTCCGTAGCCACTGCCGAGAGCTCTGGTCTGCTGGGCATGTGTGAAATCCGCTTTGTGGCCCTCTGTGATTTGTTCCGCTTAACGTTTTTATTTGTTTTGTTTACACACGCCAAGGTGGCAACGTGAAAAATGTCTCTGACGCTATTTTCTGACTGTAATGCCGAGCATTCGATGTAAGTGGCTGCTCCGATCTGCTTAGCCATATTTGCTCCCTGAGGAGTAAAAGAAGGGACTGTAGTTAGCAATAAGTCTTTGGGGAAAGTTATAAAGTGTCTTCTAAATAATAATGCATGGCAAAACATTTCTAATGTTAACAGAATTTTTCAAGTGTTGCTGAAAAAAACAAAAACAAAGATAAAAACAAAAAAACACCCAGTTTTTAAATTTGTACTGCCTTCTTTAGCATTTCATTAATATTTGCAGTCAAGAACCAGTCAGTCCTAAGGTTCTCAATGTTCATCACTCAGTAGATGCTATTTGACATCCCAGAGGTCCTAATGGCTGTCACTGGGTCATCACCAAAGGAGGCCCAGGATATCAGTTAGTCTGATTCAAAGAAATAGAGGAGAGAAGATAAGGAGGGGATACAACTTCACTATCAACTGAAACTCAGAGTAACTAGATACTCTTGTCTTCCAGGTCATAGCAGAGTATAGAATTACTCAGAGGATTCTACTATGGGAAAAAAGGCAGCTGAAGATCATGAATATAAATGATGCATTTTTCACATGCTTCTAGCAGGGGGGATTCAGCCCCTAGCTTGTTCAGCACCTCATGGGGCACTCAAGTTTTCTTGAGTGTAAATAACAATCAAGATTAGTCAAAAGGCTATACCAAAAAAGCAGAGATAAAGAATAAATTTTGAGATGTATGGAATTAAGTTTAGGGCCAAAATATATTGATGAAAGAAATGATACTGTTATGCCATCTATAACTTTAGTAAACACAAAATATGTAATTTCTAAACATGGGCCACACAACCCAGTGTGCAGAACAAAAACGGTTTACTAAATAACAAAACTTTTGTTAATTAGAAATGCAAGACAAAGACTACAGCATTTAAAATAATTATATATATATATATATATATATATATATATATATCTTTCAACATGAACTCTCTTTAGAATCTGTAACTTTTGAGAGACTAAATTTCTAAAACCAATTATTCTCTTTTCAAAATACTTAGAAAAAACATCTGAATAAGTGATGAATCTCTAAAAGACAGTTTGATGGAGTGTTCTACTTTACTGGCAAAGGCTTTGTCTTTTTGTAGTATTTTATTGTGCTGCTGAGTGTAAAATAAGATGAATTCTCCTAAAGAGTAGCACCAATGTTGACCACCTTCTCTCTTACATCCAGGGGGAGCTACAGAAATATACAAGGTAGCATATGACCCACTGTTCATATACTCTGTAATCAAAGATGTGGTTGCCCTACTAAATGCCAGAACATTCATATTTTAAAAGACTTTTTCCCAAACTTGTCTTATTACTCATGTACACATACGAATCCTTTATACAATAAACGACTGAAAACATTTTGAAAAGCTTTCTGGGAGGGTTCAGCCAAGCTTTGTCCCTGATCACTTTGGTGCTCACTCTGTAGCCTTGACATGGATCTGAGCTTCCTGTGAAGGCACAACCCCTTCACCTGTGTTGACTGATGGTCCCAATCTGGACATACAGTGCTCATTCTGCATCTTAGAAAAGGGTCTTGCACTTAGACTTGACCACTGGTTGAGACTTAAGAAAAGTGGCTACTTTTAATTTATTTATTACTAGAGGCCTGTTGCAGGAAGATTCCTGCAATAGGGCTTCCTGCTGAGGTCTCTGCTGCCCTGCCTGCCTCCCTCTCTCCTCCCCCACACTGCTTGCTTGCTTCTCTGCAGCTTAGCTCCCTTCTGCAGAGCTTAGCTTCTTTCTACTCTGTCTTCAGTATTCACTCTGGCCTGGATATGCAAATTAACTGCCATTTTGGTTGGGTTCATTTGCATACTCACCCTGATTGGCTGGTGGGTGTGGCTTGTGAGAATAGCAAAGGTATGGTCAATTTGCATGTTTCTCTTTTATTAGGTAAGATGAGTGATGTTCCATTTTTGTTCTTTTTAAAATCTACAGTGGTACACTGACTACATACCTGGTCATAGGACACTGGTGTCTGTCGATGGTTGGAGAGCTCCACTAACGTGCTGACATCGGTCCGAAGATCAGATTTGCAGCCAACCATGAGCATTTTGGTATTGGGACAAAACTCCTGGATTTCACCTTTCCACTGTTGAGGGAAAAGACGAAACATTAGCCAAGCGCTGACACCCACAGAATAGAAACAATTTCTCCACTGGCAGACATTAGAAATGGGGCTCATAAAGGGCATTTAAAAGGAACTGTCACTTCAGATGAAGAAGCAAACTGGCACTTATCTCCTAAGTAATATTAAGTTTTACTACATCCTCAAATAGATCCATTGGGGAAGACTTATGAATATTATTATTTATTCTCTGTTTTTGTGACTCAGTATCTGTCCCTACTGCAAGAGACTTTTTGGGTGTTGTCAGAAGGTAGCTTCTCAGAAGGTAGCTTCAATAATATGTTAATTATTGGGGTATCTCTGAGAGATAAAAGTGCCTTAAGTATAATTATATATTGTAACAAGTGATTACATCCTTGGATGTGTTCAGCTGACACTTCCCACCATGGACGGCTGGGAATTAAGACCGAGCCAACATAAGCACAGGTATGCATTCACTGATCCCATCAAGAAAGATGGAGCATCTACCATGTGATGAAATCTGTACTGAGATTTCAAGAACTGGAGATAAAGTTAATAAACAGAACCATCTGCCTTTAAGGGAGTTTCCATTCCAGTGGCCAAAGCAACCAAGACCTTCGCATTGGGACCTCAGAAAGGCATCTGGTTCTGTGGCTCATAGGCCCTGGAGTCAGTTTTAAGTAATATAGTTGCTAAATATTTCAATTTAGTGCAATGTTGGGTTACTTGTTTTGTGACCTAACAGGAATTCTTAGAATCTACAGAAATGTCTGCCAGGGGATTCTCCTTTTTTTAATTGTCCCTTTAAAGAGCAAATGGAGATCTTTTTGTGGTTTCACTTCCTCAAGCTTGAGAAATCAGGATGGGAGTCAGGAGTTCAGAGTGTTTACAGGAAAGTTCTGGCTCTTGGGAAAGAGGGATTAGAGGGGCTGAGATCAAGAATCCACGCCTCCAGACTCTCCCCTCCCACAGGCACATATATGTATTTAAATGCTTTACTACATATTGTGGTAGTTACAAAGGCGATTAAGACATAACTGTGCCTGAAAAAAGGAATTCGCAGAAGAGTGCGGATGATGACGTCAAGAATATGATCCTGGACAAGAGGGACATCCTGCAGGAGTAGTTTAGAAGACCATCAGAGGAGACATTTCCAGAGCTAGAGGTGTGCTGTGGGCAAAGAACTCTACTGCCAAGTACAACAGTGGATTGGAGGGAGCAATATACTTTCCACAAGAGCCCAATATATCCACAAATTCCTCCCTCTCTTTCCCCCATCCTTCATTCCTCCTATCCCTCCCAGAATTATTTAGGAACATCTACCATGTGTTGAATGGCACTGGAGTTAAGAATTGGAAGGTGAATAAAAAAATTAAAAATAAAAAGAATACATCTATCATCGTGCTTTAAGCCACTTTAACCTCTTTGATATTCAAGGACTTAAAGGATTCAATTAATCAAGACAAACCATAACAGGGGTTATCAGGAGCCTCAAACCTCACAGGAATGTAAAACATACTCATTAATATATTTAAGACCAATGTCACTATACATTTTGTCTCAGAGGACAAAAGCAAAATAAAACAGGAGCACGGCTTTTCATTATAAATTATGCATAACCCGATGCTACATCAAGTAAAAACTCCAATAAATAAGCAATCTCTTTTACCTACAGACAAGCACTACGCATGCTGCTACGTTGCTCTTCAGCTGTGTAATGACTTAGGCCTCCCTCTGCATGTCTAACAACTATTTACAAGCAGTGAAGACAGGAAAGGTGTATTCATGCCTAAGTCTGACAAACATTAGCATTATTTGTGATACAGAGGAGCTAAGAAGCACATTTCATTGAGATAACTGTGCTTGCCGTGTTTAGTAAAGAGACGAGTGATGATTCACCTTCAAACCCTAATTTTGTGTGACACAAAAGATAAACAGTCAAACATGATAAAGAAGTGTAAGTTAATAAAAACACACAAAATGTTATAATGGCACTGCCTTGGTCTCAACCACATCCTCTGTGTAAGCCTTAGTGCATGGAGAAGAGAGGGCACTCCACAGAAGGGTCTGATTCTGAAACCCCACAGCACTCAGGGCCAGGACTGAGAACACATGATGACCCTCAGTGAAGCATATGCCTTCAGTAACTGCCCAGAGACTGAGCCCAGGACTGGTGGAGGCCAAGGACAGCTCCTCCCTCCCACGGGCCTTCTCACCTGCAATAGGTCCCCTTCCTCTTGACCTCCCCCTGGTTCTGTTCAGAGCTTCCTTGGGTCCTTTTACCTCCAGGAACCAGGTATGTTATCTTCTAGAACATGCTTACAACTACTGTTCTTATTAATATCTAACATCTCCCTAATGACAGTCACCTTGTCTAGTGTCTGGAAACATGCCCATGTTCCTCCTATATTAGTTCTGCTTCTGTTTCTAATAAATAACATCATTACTGAAATACAGCCTCTCTCTTCAAATAGCTACTATTGCATTCTTTTCACGATCTGAGCCGAGGTAGAACTTAAACCTATAAACGAAGACACAATCTATAGGATAAAGGAAGGAAGGAAAGAAGGAAGGCATGCTTGACAGTAATCAAATATAATTTCTGCCCAGAGAATAAACCCAGAGGCTCTTAAAGGGTATTTTGTTTCTTAAATGCAATACAATTTTAAGCAGGCTCATCATCAAAACTGGCGGTACATATGGAAACCCTGATATAGTGTAAAAGTGTCCTTTTTATTGTTCTAACTCCAAAATACACAGCCCAGTATTAACTAGAGTGTTGGGGCTTCCCAGTCCAATTCATGTTCCTATGTTATATATGGGCTGGTACTGAACTGTGTCATCATTCCCCAGCACTTGCCTTTTTTAGGACACTGTCCAGGGTCTCTGGTCTACTGATGTCAAAGCAAATCAGCACAGCATCCGAATCTGGGTAAGAGAGGGGCCGGACATTGTCATAATAAGGAGAACCTGAAAGAGACAAAGACACACAAATTTTTAGATGAAAATCACTTGTCTGTCATGCATTAATCCTGCCCTTTTGAATTAAATCCTTTGACTATCACAAGGGGGTAGGAGTCCCACTTCCACCTCTAATTCTTGGTAAATAATGCAAAAACAAAACAAAACACACAAACAAAGGCTGAGTAGTAATATATGAATCTATGAATCGCTGCCAGAAGAGAAATGAAGCCTCCTTGTATCTGATGGGACTCCAAGGGGAAGAGCCGGGATCTAACATCTGCGTGTTTCAGAGGAAAGAGTAGGGCATCAGGGGAAACACAGAGGCTGTTGTTGCCAATGGGTCAGAATGCAAACCCACCACCACCACTGACGGAGGAGGGGCAGGGTTGCTTTAAGATTCTGCATCAGAGTCTTCATTCATAAATGAAGATGATGTAGACCCCGGCAGGGTGCTGCCTGTAGTAAGAGCTCAGTAAGTATTGACTATGGTTATGCTTGTGTCGGTGCTATTAAAAGCTGAGTGAGAGCCAGCACCATAAATAGAGGTACTTCTTGGGAAAGAGACCAAAACTCAGAGTTCCTCTGACAATCTGATAAGGGCGAGTTGGGGAGGGCGGAAAAAGTGGGTTCAGCTCTGCAAAGAGACCCACGGTCAGTCAACCACATGGCATCTGTGCACTCCACCTCAAAGCTACAGGTTTGGATAAGCCATCGATCTTTGAGCTTGCTTACTTAAACTCACCCCCAAACTCTACACAGCTTCTCTTCCTGTTACAACAAAGCATGCAATAAATGCCATATTGCATCACCTCACTTCTTTTACAGTTCCATCTCTGAGAGTGACACGAAGGCATGAGCCAAGGGTCTTGGCCTGAGTTAGATCCAGGGCACCCGAAAGGTTTAAGTTTCCAGCCAATTAATTTCACCACAGCACCCTCTAGCCATTTAGGAAATGTCTCCCTTTCCTTTAGGAATCCCAAAGGATGGCAATTACATGAGGCCAATTATTATAAAATAATGTGACCATAAAGTCAAATGCAGCTTGTCAATACTTTTTATTTTTTTTAAATTATTCTCAGTATACTGATATTTCACAGGCATAATATGAAAATCATTTTACTAGGGGATGTGTGTGTGTGTGTGTGTGTGTGTGTGTGTTTGACTCCAGAGAGTCAAGTCTTCAAATCTAAACCACTGAAGTATTTTTAAAAATCAATTCCATTTTGACATATCCTTCTGTTTCTAGCAGAAAAAAACATAACATGTTATCTCCTGATAAATCAAAACCTTGATAGTCAAAAGTCAGGAGGAGAGAAAGACTAAAGAAGCTTCTCAAATAATATAGCAAAACAAAATGTGAGTTTATTCTTGAGTTCTAGAAGTTACTGTAGTTAGGGTGCACCAGACTCTCTTCAAAGTATAGTCTGGTCCCTAGCAGTCACTAAGGAACCAAGAGACACTGTGGCCTTGACACCTAGCTGTTTTACAGGTGGACAATGACAATTCAAGCCAGGTGTGTCCACCAATCAAGGAAGAAGGAAATGTTCTAGGAATCAGGAAGTGTATGAATAAGGACAAACAATCGGAGCCAGAATGTTTCAAGAGCTGCACCAGCTCCCTACCCACACCTAGAAGCAGGCTGACAACTGAAAGACACTTCCCAATTGATTAAAGGAATCAGCTTCTTTCAAAATCAAGTCATTTTCAATAATAAGGCATATCAGAATGAGGACAACTCTGAAAATGATTAGCTGTCATCCTACCTTTTCAGCCACTTAAAGAAATCTGAGGTTAAGAGAATAACACACATAATTCTCGAATTTAAACATTACAAACATTACTGAGAGGCATCAGGAATTGGTGACTTATGGCGCTGTGTGGGTATATTTGTTCTGTGAAGTGCTGACTTTCTGAATGGCAACCTTTCTTGTTTGTGTTCAAAGTCTAAACTTTGACAACAGCTGCAGCTGTAAACATTAAGGAATTGCTTTCCAAATATGGAGACAGAAAGTTCTGTATCATAGAGTGGAAATCCAAATACCAGCCAAGAACCCCAGGATTTCCTCGGCTCTTCCAAGTTAGCAGGAAATGAGTGGACCCCAGATCCATAAAACCAGGGCTTTCCAACAGTGAGGATTGTCAGAAACCTAACCAGGCTTTCAGAGATCTCCTTTCTTGGAAACCACTCACTTTCCCAGACTCACTCCGACCTGAACGTGGGCGGAGAGGCACCTGCAGGTGCCTTATTCTTTCAGATATAAGGTGAGAGTGCTCACTGCCAATCTCAGACCCACAACTGCTCTGCACAGCCTTGGGGGCCATCTTTTCCAAATACTACAAAATTTAGGAAAGACAGCTGGAGAAGTACACAGGTGTTAAAATAGAGTAATGAAAACTGGGACTACCAAGAAAATGGTTTCATAATTTAATTCACCACATGGCTGCAGAGAATACGTCTCCGGCTGGCCCTTTCTCTGCTGGTCTCCCTTCTCCACGCATTATCAGCCACAAAAGGGGATTTAGCTTTCTTTTCTGTCCTCTACTCTGTCCTGCCTGGAGACTACCGCTTACTAGAAACAAGCCATGTGCTTTGTGTGCTAAGTAAGTCAAATAGCTGCAAAATGTGGAAACTGTCCTGACTTAAAAAGAAACAGAGCTGTGACTGGTACCACATTCTTTTGGAGGTTTGTTTCTGTTCATGTTTTCATTTGGTTTAATGTTTTGAATGAAAATAAGCATGTATGTGAAGGTTCATGAGAAATGAACCCTCTTGCTTTATACAGGTGTAGAGGGGCAATTTAATTTATTGGGATAACATGGGTTAATAGGATCATACAGTTTTCAACCATACACTTCTATGACACAAAATCTGTATATTGCACTGTGTCCCCACCACCCACAAAGAGGCACTTTTTAAAAGCTTTCACAAGATCAACAGGAGTGTCCAAAGTGGCAATAAAACTGATCCCCATATTTATTAGTTATAAGCATCATTTGCATAACCACTAACTATGAAAGTAATTTGTCATTAAAAATAACAAGACAAGACTACTTAGTCATAATATTTTTGGATCTTTTGGGATAGAAAATCCCAATTCATACTAAAAATAAAAAAATAAAAAAAAGAGAATTAGAAAAAGAATCTACCTGAAAAAGAAAAAAAAAATCTAACAATTCAGCTAAGCAGAACCTTCAGAAAAAAAAAAGAAAAAGAAAAAGAAAAAGAAAAAAAAAAGATCCTGTGTAACTTAACAGTGTTTACTCTGCTTGAGCACTTTGGATTCTTCCTCGTTCTCTTCTGTAAAGCCCACGCTACTGCACAAAGGAAAGCAAAGCTGGAGAGGCACGCTGTAATCACAGGCATGTGTGGTTCAATTCGCAGGCCAAGAAAAAGGGAAGAGGAATTCCAGGAATGCCCTGTGAAGTGAGAACCAATATGGGAGGAAGAAGTGACACCAAAGTAAGGGCAGAAAGTAAGCCCATGAAACAGGAACAATGCCTGCCCTTAACTCCTATATCCTTCCAGAAAAGTCTTAAAACAGTCTGTTAAGCCAAACAGCAACACATTAACTTCTATAAATATATTTTTAAAGATGCAGGTGCAAAGCTTCCAGGGTAACTGTAGAACTAAACACAAGAGTGCTGAACATTTTTTACTATATAGGAGTGCACTGAACTCTTAACTGCAGTACACAGCAGATACTAATGTGTGCACCCCGAGAATGTACCTTAGCTAAATGCAGTAAGTCTAGGCATTGAGCGGAGCTTTCTAAACTAAAACTCTTTCTCAGCATGTGAAATAAGCTTCATACATATGGAAATCTCAGCTGCAGCATTTCTTATTATGCCAGACAACACTTGAAACACACAGCACTATTCCAAAGTCCTTTATAATGAACCATAAAGAGAAAACTTCAGGAAAACTCTGTATTGTAAAGAAACAACTACACCACATTTGCACCAACTTCCACCCAAGAAAGAAAAAACTCCTCTTTGCTTGGGTGTAGATTAGAATAAGTGCACATTGTGGTGCTCTGAGTTCCTCAAGTTTGGCAAACATCGGCCAAGTTCTAAAAGGCTTTTGAAACATCAGGTCTACCCATCTCTGTCTTCAAGACCATTAACGCTGCGTGAGAGCAGCAATTCCAGCCCAAGAAGAGTCACAGAGTGCCTCACCCAGAAACTAATTTTGCAGACATACCTGCCTGTTTACGTCATCCTTTCACAAAGATAGAACATACCATATATGTACATTATTAAATGTATATGTGAGAAGATCCATGCCCGAAGGGAGGCTTTATGGAAACTTTTGCAAAACCAGTTCAAATGTGAGTCTCTAGAGGAGTCTCTAGTTGAATATTTCCTAACTATAATTCCTTTTGCTTGAACCTTAAATTTTAAAACTTTCCATTCCCTCTTAAGAAATTCCTAACAAGAACAATAAAATTAGGAATACTGCATTTTTTAAATATATATATATATATATATATATATATATATATATATATATATATATATAAATTTTTTTTTTTTTTTTTACCAAGAAAATAGATTAACTTTTGGCATTTTTGAGTGGTCACCAACAGAATATCTGTGCCAACAGCAGCAAACACAGGATCTGCCCAGCTATCAGCAGATTTCATTTCTTCATGCCAGCTAGAGAGTGAAAGCTCCAAAATTAGCAACAATCTCAACTTGTGAATCAAGTCTGATCAAGACTTCTCTGTCTGGCGCAGTTTGGACTCTGAACTTTTTTCCCAAGTAGTGTGCCCCACAAATGCCATGGCTGCAAGTAAGCAACGAACTTTCCCAGAAAGAGTATTTTGTTTCTTTTACAGGTTCAGATTCACTGGAATTATGAACAGATTTTATGAAAACGTGGACGGGGGCACTTCTGTGTTGCTATAAAGATAGAATCAATATTTTTGATTTCTTGGGGCAATGCAGATGCATAGTTGGAAAGTCAATGAGGTAGAAATAAGGTCAGTATTTGGGGGCTGTAAATA